GAATGAATCTCATGCTGAATTGAAGGGCTTAACTTTTTTGCTGTTTTTTTAAAGACTCTAAAAACTACTTTTTAAATAGGTGCTCAATTGTCAACTGTTTTGAACAATGTTTTAAACTATCTAATAATAAAACCTATTAAAAGTTAACATTATATTTTGTTGTAAACTACTAAGAGACCTTAGTCATAGAATCATAGGCCTGGAAGGAAGTCTTTAGTCCAATCCCCTAGCAGTAATACTTATAACTTCCCAAATAAATGGTTGTCCAATCTTTTCTTGTAAACCTTCAGTGATGGGGCACCCACAGCTCCAAGAGGCAAGCTGTTCCATCGATTAATCATTCTTACTCCATCTTATTTCCAGGTTGAATCTCCCTCTGACAGGCCTCCACCCATTGCTTCTTGTTCTGCCCTTAGGTTCTATGGGGAATAAATCGATGCCCTCTTCCCTGTGATGACCCTTATTCATATACTATCCTATGGTAGACAGTATAATAAAAAGAAGGGTGCCAAATCCTTAGAATAATGAATGATATCAGCCCTATTTTTAAAAGATACCTTGACTCAGGAATGAACTTTATCATTGTGTTCCCAGATATTTATTAATATACTGGCTTGCCGTATTTATTCGTCCATTTTATTTTTTGACATTTAGAACAGTGCAGAAAGTGACAGCTTGCTTCTTGTCAACAGGATCATGAAATTACTACATCCTAGCTTTCTTCTGGGCAGAGTTCCCAGGTGCTACTTTTGACCTTAATTCCTTATGCCACATTGCTTTATCTCCAGAGAAACCCAGACTCCTTTTAATAATACATTCCTTGGGTTAAGACAGAATGTCAAGAATTCCTAAAGGAGATCTACTATACATCTTTTCTCTAGAGACATACCAAATCCAGGCATCAGCATGTCTCACATGTGGGTTAAACCCTGTCAGCTTGGGTTAGCCTTTAGTGGCAGGGACATATATTAACAGAAGAAAGTTAACATTTATTACACATTTTTCTATTTTATTGATTAGCTCAACTAACATCTTATGTATTGTTATGCTTTCATGTCAATATGCCTATGTTTTATTACCTATGACTTACATGGAGCATAGCTATTTGTGATTTATGTATCTTTATTATTTATTTTATAGATTTCTTCCATTGTATCTTGCTAGAATTTTTTTAGATTTGTTGAACTAAAATGAAAAATATAGGGAATGTTTAGTAAGTTATTTATCTAAAATACTGGGAACATACGCAGGAGACAACTTATATAGAAAATACAATGTGTCAATGCTATATAGCTTTAATATATCTTTATTTTCACTACTAAATCAAATCAAATCTTTATTACAGTCATAGATCATCATAAAGAGAGTGATGTGCAGTCAATTAAAACAGAGAAGATACATCAGAGTCTAGAAAAGGGAAATTAAAATGAGAAGATACTAAAGCAGAAAGTATATATAAAAGTTTAAAAGAATCTAAAAGAAGGGGTAGGAGAACATAAAAGGGTAATGCCTGAAAGACTATATCCATGATGGCAAACCTATGGCATGCGTGCCACAGATGGCACGCAAAGCCATTTGTGCCGGCACGCAAGTCACAGGCAAACTTACCTCACTGCTCATGCGTACACTTCACAGCTGATTTTCGGCTCATTTGAGGCCTTTTTTGGTTTCCCAGAGGCTTGAGGACAGCTTCTGCAGACTTTGCAGGCCGAAAAATAGGCCCGTTTCATCACTTCCTGTAATACTGGAAGTGACAAAACGGGCCTATTTTTCAGCCTGCAAAGGCTGCAGAAGCTGTCCTTAAGCCTCTGGGAGGCCGAATAAGGCCTCAAACTGGCCAAAAATCAGCTGGGAGGCACAGTGCAGGTAAGGAGGCAGCGTTGGGGGGGATTATGTGTGCACGCACAGGAGGCATGGGAGGGGCCGTGCATTGCCTTCTGGGTGCTGGCATGTGAGCACACATGGGCGATTTTTGGCACAGGAGCCAAAAAGGTTAGCTACCACTGGACTATATCCATCAAATTACAGAGAACTCTAATATGGTAAACTAGGCGCTCATCAAATTTATTATTATTATTATGGCACAGGTCATCATCTGACAAATTTTGAATTCTGCTGCACAGAACCTGGTAACATTGCATGTTGTAGCAGGGTTGACATCTAAAAGTAGGAAACTATAGAATTGTCCTGCCCATCCTGGGAATTTATGAAGTAAAAGGGAAATGAGACTAGTATAAATGTCTAAAGCATGGCCACTGGAGAAGCACATGCCACTTTCTGTTAATGTAGCTTTACAATAAAGTATACAAAAGTTGCACTGTGTTTCTGTCAGAACAACCGGGTAAGGATGACAACAGTCTTGACTGTCTAAAAGTAAAATTCTCCTACCATCATCTTTACAGCCTGAAAATTTAGGGAGACTCCTTTCTAAGTATCTTATTCCTCCCACTATTCAGTTGAGGGCTATGCTGTCTCTTATCCAACGATTCTCTAGGCAGCATCTTTTCACCCTGGTGTTTTGGTATGCCCCCAAGGTGTTTTGGCATACCATTGCATCATCTTTATTGGAGCAATATGATATAATTATACTTATTTATAGATGGCTGAGGCTTCAAATGTCCATTAATTCTTCAATAATCCTGGAAGACTCAGATAAGCATTTGAAAGTGAGAAAATAAAGTGATATACTGTTCTCCTGTTTATATTTCAGCTATTTTATGAAGTAAATTATAAAATACAATCATGGTAATACACCACTGTTACTATACATAATCTCAGGAATTTCATAGAGCTATGCAATTCATTTGAAATGTTAACTGTGTAAAGCAGGACATAAAGGAAGCATCCATCCTTGAAGCATTTAAGCAGCCATTTTCTCCAAAATTCTCAATGCACTGGTTTCCATAGGTTGGGCATTGCTACCTATATAAGTGTGCAAGTACATTCAACATTTCCCTTGGAGCCACCAGTGAAATGAAACAGTTATGTTTGCACATGTAGAGAAGAGTGAGCATTAAAGGATGTAGGAAGGATGTAGCCACTTAATGCTTTATAGAGTTATATGTCACTCATGCCAACTATAGGGCTGACTATTGTACCACTGACAAAAAAATCAAATAGGGAATTACTGGGAATTAGTTCTCTTTTCTCTGACATTCTATTTTACTGTAACCATTAGGCATTTCCCCTCCTTCCAGTAGAAACATTCAACTTCCATGTGCAACCTAAAGGGCGTACAATCAGGAGACATTTATGCCTTGATCCTATTTCATGACCTTTGGCCATCTCTGCTGAACAATGACAGCTTTATTCAGTGCTGAAGATAAATGCAGATGCTCTTTGGAGCTAGACTGAGATTCCCAAAATATCTTCAATGTTATAATACTACATAGGCAATAATGACTATAAGAATTGGCTCGACATCAACTGTCAATTCGATGAGGATAATTGATTCAATCTAATTTAACTACTCATATCAGTTTAGGAAGTTTATTTTTTTATTCAAAGCTCTAACAAAAGTTGATTCCATTTCTGAATTTATTGGAAAAAGGACTTTTCTATATATGCATCAAAGCCCTTTTAAGCCTTTCTGATATGATAAAAAATCAATTTGATTCAGAGATGATTCAATGGGCTTTGAATTGTATCTCTAAATCAGAGCTTTGCACAGTCCCACAATTGTAAAATACTGAAGAGAATTAACAATATTCCTTTTCAAGCTTCAAGTACACTCTTAATTTATGTTTGGGCACCAAGCTGTTCAAATAGACAAACAAAACAAAACAAGAGTCCTTGTGCTACAAATAGCAGCAACTTGAAGAGATCTTCTTTTGCAGATTTCAGTAAAAACTACTTATCAAAATATTATTCCACAGAACTAGTTGTGAAATGCATAGCAAACCTTTCATACAAATGCTTCATAAATATGATTATCAGCCCACGCATAGCACTCACAAAGAAGCCATAACTGGATAGCAAAATGAGAAACCACAATGTTTCATTATCAATTAATTGTTAATTAATTTATTAGTTATCACACCTAATTATCTCAACTTCCTTGTCTACAGCTACATACGAAAACATAGCTTTATCCAACAACAGAAATGGCCCATTTGCATCAACAAGGACTCTACTCACTTCCCACAAAACTTGCCATCTTATGCAGACCCTCAAAATTCCCCACTTTGGATGGAACAAATATTTATAGCTCTTTCCAAATTCTAACATTGCAATCTTAATGTTAGATCTGGGAGGATGGTTCAAGAACGGAGGCAAGACTCAGATAACAACAACAGCTCTTTATTAGTGACTTCAGATCTGAGCAAAGAATCCCAGCCGCAGCAGCCCCTTATATAGGGCTGGCTGTGGCTAGGCAGCCAATGAAGGCGATTTGAGTTTGCCGCTCTTGGCTGGGCCAATCGCGGCAGCCCGTTTACTAGCCAATTGCATCAGTCTGCGGCGACCAATCACGATTGGCTATTTGCGGGCCAATCAGAGTTGCAGGCTTTCGAGCCTGCTAGTCCGGAACACTTAACATTGTTTATTCAGGAGTAATTTTTACCTGTTCGGTGATATTTGCCTTCTAATAGGTGCATTTGGGATTACAGCTTCAAAATCACATTAATATTCCTGCCAAAGAACTTAAATGGTTGTAAATCATTTATACTTGTTACCCAAATTTAGAATCAAAGTCAGGAGTTATTTCAAAGACCACATAATCAGCTATTCCTAGGCTAACGTAGTGCTCAAAGTCACAAATCCAGTCTCCTTTGTTTCCTTGGCATTGCAACAGGGCCATGACTATATTACATTGCTGCAATTTTTAAAAATTAAGAATGTATTACCTAGTTACTGGGCAACAGACAATTTAAAAGTAGGCATATTGCAGTATATATTAGCTTAACTGATTCGAATAAATGGAAAGGTTGTTATTTAAATCCCTGTTAATTATTTAAGATCACTACTGGAATAAAAAAGAGTGCCCCTTCCCCTCTCCTCAGGATCTCAAGAATACCTGCTTGCAGAATAGCATGAGGCTGCAGCTGTAGAAAAGCTAAGCCTCGCATCAGACAGGCAGCTCTCTGCAAAACACAGAAAGGTAAGTTGGGTATTCCTGGGTTCCTAGAGATGTCTGAGGAGCAGGCTGAGTCCTGCAAGTCCCTGGGTGGCTGGTTGGGAAGGAAGCTGAAGGCCTGCAAGTACCTTGGAGGCGGGAAGGGCAGCAGGCCCAAAGGCTACAGGACTCCAATCAGGGGTGGACTGCTGGGGGTTCACAGAGGTTCAAGAGAACCTCTAGCTAAGATTCTGCGTAGTTTGGAGAACTCCCAAATCCCACTCCTGGCTGGTGCCGACCACCCTGCCCCACTCCTCCCAGGAGCCCCACACAGCTCATTTTGGATGCAAGTAAGTACAGGGCGAGCGTGGAGGCATGGGGAGGATGAAAATGGGCTTCCCAGAAGTTCAGGAAGGCCAGAAATGGGCCCATTTCCAGCTTCCAGAGATCCTCCAGAGCCCAGGGAGGCCATTTTCAGGGGGGGCACCACGGTGCACGAGGCCGACTAGGTCACGCCTACCATGGACATGCCCATCCAGCAACCAGGCAGAGAACCCGTTGGTAAAATTCCGAGAGGTGGGAATCAGAACACAGGGTGCCTCAACGGGTGGGGGGAGGCCTTGGAAGAAGCAGGGCAGGCAAACATCAAGGAGAGCACTGGTGGGGGGGGTCATTAAACAATCACTTTAGTACCTTTCTCAATGACCATTGTTGTAGAGCGATGGTAAGGAAGAGGCATGAGACCAGAGCGTACAACTAACAGGCTTTATTGCAAAGAATAAAGGGTTGTCGCGTCTGCTTGCTAACTTGCAGACCAGCGGGCGACAACGGCTGGCTCTGCTCGACAGCCGGCTTATATAGCTGGCTGTCAAACGGAGCCAACCAATGGGAGCTGCTGGTGCTCCCGCTCAAACAGCGGACCTGGTTGGGGACCCCAACCAGTTCCACAGACATAACACCCCTTTCCCCCAGCTGGGAACATGCGTAGTCCTGTAGATACAAGGGTTGTCTTCGCTGGTGACCAGAACGTCGCAGTTCGGGTGAACTGTCGGCCGGTGTCAAGTCCTGGTCTTCGGAACGTGCCTCGGCGGTCGTCGGGGCGTGGGTTTGCCCCGGCGTAGTGTCCTGTGGTGCTGATGAAAACCCCTGCTCAGGTTGGCCCGGCTGAGTCTCGAGGTCCGGCTGGTCTGGTCAACTGGGTCGCTCGGTGGTTGGAGTGGTGACTCTGGCCGGAAACTCGGGTTCTCCCGCCAGTCCTCTCGCTCGTCAGGGAAAACCAGGTTCCGCAGGGGATTCGCGTCAGGCACTGGTGAGGCATCGTTGGCGCTGGCAGGTTGACATGGGTTGGCATCTGTCGCGCCCTTCCGCCGCCTTCTGAGTTGATCCACATGTCTCCGCCACAAACGTCCATCCTCTAGGAGGATCCTGTAGGACCTGGGACCTGTGACTGACACGACTTGTCCTGGCACCCACAACGGATCCCCTGCGTAGTTCCTGGCGTATACCAGGTCTTGTGGGGCGAAGTCTCTGACCAGACTGTCGGACCCTAAGGGGGTGTCTGGGCAGTAGTGGGGGTGTAGCCTGTCCAGGGTGGCTCTAAGGCGTCTCCCCATTAGAAGTTCGGCAGGAGATTTGTTGGTGGTGGTGCAGGACGTTGTGTGCTGGCTGAGCAGGAAACGAGACAGTTTAGAGTGCCAATCCTCCTGGCCAAACCTGGTGAGTGCCTCCTTGGCTGACCTAACTGCTCTCTCTGCCATCCCGTTGCTAGCGGGATGGAATGGTGCTGTAAGGACATGTCTGATGCCCAAGTTAGCAGTGTACATGCTGAATTCACACGATGTGAACTGTGGGCCATTGTCTGAAACCAGCGTGTCAGGAAGCCCGTGGGTGACAAATAGACGGGTTAGGGCCTTAACTATCGCCTGGGTGGTGGTTGTGGGAAGTAAGGCTACATCAATCCACTTGGAGTATGAATCCACGACCACCAAGAAGGTCCTGCCATGTACAGGCCCAGCCAGGTCGACGTGCAAGCGGGACCAAGGGGCGTTTGCACTCTCCCATCTGGTGGGCGTGGCAGCTGGAGGGGCAGCCCTGGTTTGTTGGCAAGGCTGGCAAGAGCTTACCCAGTTGGCGATTTGAGCGTCCATGCCGGGCCACCAGACGTAGCTACGGGCCAGGGCCTTCATTCTTACGATGCCCGGATGACCCTCGTGAAGCACCTTCAGGATGGGCACTCGAAGGGAGGCTGGGATGACCACTCTTGTTCCCCACAATAGACAACCTTGCAACTTTGACAGTTCCTGCTGGCGGGTTTTAAAGGGGACAAAATCAGTTGTACATTGAGTTTCCGGCCACCCCCTTCCCACCCAGTCCAGAACCTGGGCGATGATTTTGTCCTTCTTTGAGTGCGCCACGATGTCCTCGGCTGTCACTGGGAGCTTGAGTTCGTTGACCTCAAAAATGGCGTGGATAGGCGCTGGGTCTTCGACTGGGACTGGCAGGGGGCAGCGACTAAGGGCATCGGCGTGGCTCAAGTTCTTACCGGAATGATGCACTAACTTGAATGAGTAAGCGGCCAGAAACAGGGTCCATCTGGTCATTCTGGGTGAAAGTACCTGCGGGGTTTGCTTATCTCCAGACAGAAGTCCTAAAAGAGGTTTGTGGTCAGTCACTAACTCAAAGTGGTGGCCAAACAAGAATTCGTGGAACTTCTTAACTGCAGCCACTGCAGCCAAGGCCTCTTTATCGATTTGGCTGTAGTTCCTCTCAGTTGGAGAAAGGGTCCTAGAAAAGAAAGCAATTGGTGCCTCGGAACCGTTGGGGAGTCTGTGGCTCAGGACAGCCCCAATGCCAAAAGGGGATGCGTCAGCAGCCAGGACCAGGGGAAGACGTTGATCGAATTGAACTAGAACCGCTTCTGATGTGAGTAAGGATTTGACTGACTTGAAAGCATGGGTTTCCTTGGGTCTCCAGTGCCAGGGCGAGTCTTTATCTAGTAGCCTATGTAATGGTTCAGCGACCGATGCCTTGTGCGGGAGGAATGAGGCGTAAAAGTTCAGGAGTCCCAGGAAAGCTTGAAGTTCAGTTTTGTTGGTGGGTGTGGGTGCCTCATGGATGGCCTTCACCTTGGACTCAACGGGGTGGATGCCAGAGGCGTCTATTCTATAACCCAGAAAGTCCACCTGCCTAGTGGCGATGGCACACTTCTCCCTCTTAAGTTTAAGGCCATGCTGTCTAAACCTCTCCAGCACTGTCCTGACTCTCTGAATGAGCTGGGGTCGGTTCGTGGCTGAGACTAAGATGTCATCGAAGTAGGGGACCACTCCTGGGAGACCCTGGAGAATCCTCTCCATGAGTGACTGGAAAATGCCTGGGGTCACGCTGACCCCGAATTGGAGGTGCCTACACTTGAATGCCCCCCTGTGCATGACTATGGTTTGTAATTCCGCTGTCTGCTCATCGACAGGGAACTGTTGGTATGCCTGGGACATGTCTAACTTGGCGAAAATGGTGCCGGGTTCGAAAGTGTGTAACAGATGCTGAATAACGGGGACAGGGTATGCGCTGACCTGCAGATAGCGGTTGAGCGTGGTTTTGTAATCCGCACAGATTCTCAAACTGCCATCTTTCTTAAGTGGGGTGACTATGGGGGTCTCCCATTTAGCGAAATCAGTGGGTTCTAGCACCCCTTGCTTAAGTAGTTTGTCTAGTTCTGCGTCCAATTTGGGACGGATGGCAAAAGGTACCCTACGTGGTTTTAAACGAAGAGGGGTTGCCTGGGGGTCTACTGAAAATGATATGGGGGTGCCCGAATAGCAACTCAGCTCATTGCTAAATACATCGGAAAAATCAGAAAATAGTGTATCTACATCAGAAGTTGAGACAGCATGGATCCCGGTTACACTAAGGCCGAGAGAAGGAAACCAATCAAGTCCCAATAGACTAGAGAGGGTACCATTAACAACCACTAGAGGCAGATGGCCTTTAAAGGCTTGAAATTGAACAAGGAACTTGCCTTTCCCGAGGACAGGAATGTTCTTGCCCTGGTAGTCCCGCAGCGTCAAGTGGCATCTTTGTAGCTGTTTCCTTGACAGTCTGGGCTGGATCCTCTTCAGGGTATCCCAGGAGAAGATTGAGAGCGCGGATCCCGTGTCCACCTCCATCCTGCAGGGTTTACCTTCTAGGAAAACAGAGATTTTAATTTTATCAGGGGTTTGGGAAGTATGGTTAGTGTGGTAGCAGGTATAGCAGTCCTCCACTTGCCTTTGGGAGTTAGGAGGTGGTGGAGGCCTTTGAGGTAAAGATCGCCCTGCTTGTCAGACTCTAGCGATGTGACCCTTCTTTTGGCAGTTCAGGCAGATGGCGTTTCTGAACCTGCAGGATGCCCTAGGGTGGGAGCCTCCACAGGTTAGGCACATGGGAGGTTGTTTGGGGGTGAAGTTGTTTCTCTGCCCCGCTCCTACCTGTGAAGGCTTCTGATGTTTAAGGCAGTTAATGTCAGATGTGTCTGTGGGGTCATCTTCGCTGATTACTTCTTCAGAATGGACAGTTGGCGTGCTGGGTTTAGATTGAGTGCCCTGAATTTCAGCTGCTGACTGGGCCGAGAGCTCAGCAGCCAGGGCTTCCTCCATGGCTAAGGCTAGAGTCAAGTCCTTCTTTGCCAGTAAACGCCTCTGGAGTCTCAGGTCTCTCACCCCACAGACGATCTGGTCCAACAGCATGTCTTCCAAATATTCTTTGAATCCGCACTGTAAAGCGGCTGTTCTCAGGGCGGCCATGTATTCGTTGATCGACTCCCCCTCTGCCTGTTTCCTGACCCTGAAGGCATACCTTCTGGCTATTTGGGACGGTTTGGGCGAATAGTGATTTGAAAGTATTTCCTGTAGCTCGTCCCATGGGATGCTTCTGATGGCGCGGGGTGCGACTAACGCTGTAGCGGTGTCGAAGACGGCGGCTCCGCAGTAACTCAGGAAATAGGACTTCTTCCTATGCTCCGCAGCGTCAGCTAAACCGATGGCATCAAGAAAATGGCTGAATCGATTTTT